ATTATATACGATGGTATATTTTAGATGGTAGAAAATTAATAAATTAATATGGAAATAGAGTTTAGATTTTAGATGGTAGAAAATTAACAAATTAATTTGGAAATAGAGATAGAGATAGTTTGATCTAGTTTGGATTCATGTTTTTGTTTTTGATAATACCTCATACCTCAATGACATCATTGTTTTTTTTCTTTTGTTTGCTGCGCTTCTCTCATTCACAATACGTAATTTTTCCAATATTGTTAAGCACTTTCACTTAGTGCAAGAAGACTGTGCATTGTATTATACTGAATTTGCCACTACTACAGCATTTTTTCGACTATCTGCGTTTCTTTGCTTTTGGCATTAACGGCTATTTAGCTGGTACGCTAATTGGCTTAAGAGTGTTCGATGTGTGTTGGCTTTTGAAAAAGGCGTTGCACAATGCGCTCAATCAAATTTGTGTTTTTTCTGAGTCAAATGGCGCGCATTGTGCGCCATAGATTTCCCTCGCATAATTACGGAAACAATGTCTGAATCTCGAGCGGATTGTGACTACGCTCCACTAGCTTTTTGGGCTCAAGTCGCTGCTTCACTCAAAAGTATCTTTCGCTCATTTGCCAGTCGAATTTTACAAAAGACCTTGACACATTTGGGGCGTGTATATTTGTATCCGAACCTTTGCCCCAGTCTCGACCATTTTTGTGCAAGCGATGAGCAAAAGACACACAAAAGATATAATAAAATAAATAAAAAATAAGCATAGCCACGTTAAATTTAGATTTCAAATGGAGCCACAGATAAAAAAAAAAAAAGCATGGCAACAAACAATATCCAGCTAGCTATTGCAATTTCCTCAGTGCGTGTGACTTTTATGAGACAGACAGACTCACATTGTAATAAATTAGGCTGCTTGCGTTTGTGTTGCTCTTCTGCATTGGCCTGGCGATTTAAGCGCTGCAGCAGCGACTTAAGCTCTGTTTCAAGAATTGCATAATATTTGGCAAACCAGCAAGCAAGCAACAACAGCTGCCACAACGCTGTTGTATCTGCGTATACAGCAACAACAACACAGCAACAACAGCAAAAACAAAATCATCAACAAGTAGTACAACCGGACAAACCATTGAGCTCGCTTTCATGTTAGTGATGAGCGTTTTCAACGCCAATCGTGGATAAGTTTTAGCTTAAACATATTTATTTTAATTTTTTTTTAAACTTAGTAAATTATTATTAATAATTGAGTGAACTTCAAGAAATGGTTAAGCTCTTTGAAGAATTTGACTCTCTTCCCACTAAATGTTAAATGCAATAATAAAAATTAGGAAGAGAGGGTAAAGTTTACCGGGTATCTTAACTTAACTTATCCAATTCATTACTTGTTAGCTGTGGACCAATTGTTTTTGCAGCTTTTACTTGTTTCGATTTTAATTGTTCAACGAATTCATCACGTGTTCAGCTCTGTGCTCTGGCACGATGGAAAGCTTTACAGCAGTCGCTAAAAGCTTTACGACCAGGTGGCAACTGCAATAAAATTGCGAATATATATATATATAAGAGAAATATGTGATTAGGACACAGCAAGAGCAAACAAGTTTGAAGCGAAAGGGAAAATTTATCGCAAATGAAATTACGTTAAGCGACAAGCGCAAAGTAAGGCATTTTTATGAGTCGACTTTAGATTGAAATTACGTTAAAATACAATTAATGCTGGCACTGCCGTTGCATAGTTCGCTACTCTCAAGTTGCACATACAGATTGAGGCAACAGTGCCGCATCAGCTGCTTCCCAGCGGCTTCCTCTATCAACGCCGTGTTGCGGCTGCGACCTTGTGCTCGATTTGAGAGCACTCGCAAAGAAACTGAAATTAAATTGTTTATATGAATAAATGAATGGGCATAGACTTGGCCGTTTCGTCTTTCTGACGTTAAAATGCTATGAAACAAACCACACACAAAATGAAGATTTGAAATGTTGTCACATCGTAAAGCCAAATGCTGAAACAGTTACTAGCATCGCCTGCCTGCGACAAGTTGTTGTTAAATTTATGCCATGGGCAAAAGCCAAATAATATTGTCAACCAATTTCTTCAACTGGCATTTACCATTTGCGTTGGCTGTTATTGCTGTAGCTGCTGTTGTTGATACGTTTCTGTTTTACTTCTTTTCATTTGTAACTGCGGCCTTTTGATGCACTGACCAAGCAGCGAAGTCAACAAACTTGTTCAAGGCAGAGCAGCAACAATCGCTACATGACTTGCCAGAAAAGCTTAAGACAGACAAGCAGAGACAGACAAACAGAAACAGAAAAAGAAACTCAGACTGCAGTTTAAACTGAAACCGAGTCGATGTGTTAGTGCTTGAAATTGCTACTGTTTTTTCTTTGTTGTAGTCTGTAAAGTTTATTAAATTAACGTTACCAAGCTTATCTACTTGTATATATATTTAATTATTGACGTAAGCAGATTTATTATCAAATCATACATTTTGTTGTGGGCCAACACAAACTAGCTTCAGACTGACTTAACTAACTTAATGCACATCAAGCTTGTATTGAAAGCAAAGTAGGCCGCTGTGGTGAATCATGCATCTTTCATTACAAAATATAGATACATATATTTACATGGGTGTATATATATAAACATATATTTCGGCGTTGATGGAGTGCTGTCAGGTTAGCTTGGAACTCACTTTGCAGGGCTCATTAGCACACTGACAGTTTCAAAACGATGTCAAGTCCGTTGCAAATGACTACTCAGCTTACTTATTTATTTATGTGTAGGGATATGTTTTGTGAATTACATTTATTTGACAGCAATTACTAGACAGGTGTTGCACTCCGTGTATACATAAAATGTTCAGGAAGTTAATCTCAAAATTGATCACAAAATGTAGCTCAAATACGAATTTACTCAGAACATACAAGACTCAGTTTAATGGCCGTGCGGGCCATGACGGGCACTTTTTATAAAGGGCAGCCTTTAGTTCGTTTATAAACGGACAACCTTGCAGTTTAAAAAATAAATTACTTTAAATATAAAATACAACAAAATATCGGTTCAAATTTGCCAGTTATCATATAACATAAGCATTTTTGCACCACCAAAAATCAACCAATTTGCGCTTGAGTACAAATTTAAATTTAAATTTCATGCGTGCTTTGTTACATCATTCAATTTGATGGCACATTGGCCAATAAACACCCACAATGATGGGCCGTTGGGCATTTTCAATGTCAGCGTTGCGCAAATGTCGCCCAGCTGGTTTATGTATTTATATGCACCAGAAGAGGGCATGTTCATTTAGTCACCTCATTGGTGACGCATTCAAATATCGATGGAGCTGTTACTCACAGCTATCAATAAGCTTAGTACATACATGTATACATACATTATGGCCTCTGTATAGTCTTACACTTATGCACCAAATCGACATTTCAGAAAGAATTTTTTTAAAAATTTGGATGTTGATTTTTAGTTTTTATAAATGTTTCTCTTAATGAAAATATTTCTAATAAAAAGAAAAAAATATTTTTAAATTGATAAGATATATTATATGAGCATGTTTAGTGTATTTTTGCCACGGCATATACAACATGATGATTTTTTTCTCTGCTCTTTTAACGTGTATCACAGGTGAAATGCCCTGAGAGAGGCCCTCAAACTGTTAACATATAGATGACATTGAAATTGTGCAATACACAGTTTCAAATTTATGTTATTAGTGCTTTGTCATTGATGTCGTCGAATTTCTATTGATTTTGCAGCCATACATTTTTCCATCCCTCAATTGTCGACTTACTCTTTGCCACATTGATTTAATACAAGCTAAGCATTAAATCTCGCCTTGACCACACCCAAAACTTCAAACTTCAAGACAGCAACACAAAAATAACAACAAAAAAAACTCATTGACGTGTCTTTGACTGCGATTGTGACGATCGTGTCTTCTTAATGCTCACGCATATTTGACATTAAAAACAATTTAAACAAATTAAACAAATTATAGCACTTAATTGCCATTTCGGTATGATTCTTAATGTTTCCTCCAGCCAAAAAGCAGAGTAGTTTGCATCTATCAGGTTAGAATTTAAATGCGCTTATTAACGCAACGCAACAGTTGCGTCGGCTTTTCCGGACAGAACCTGACTCTTACTGTGATGAATCAATGATGCAATGCCGCAGAGTGGCAGTGAATGGTGAGTGGTTAAGTTTGTCTGTTGTAATTCTCGTTGTTCACAAGAAGAAGAAAAAGCAGAAAAAGAAGAAGCGAGTGCAGCGCTTAGTTTGATGCACAGCGCATAAGTCGACTGCCTCAAGGCCGACTTACATAAGAGCAGAGCAGCGGCAACGTCACAACAACGACGTCAAAAAACCCAAATCTGCCGCAGCTGAGAAGACCTTTATTGCCATGTGCCCTTAAAGCGCACACATGCTGAATGCTTTGAAGGTGAACGAGCTGCTGCTGCTGCTGCCTCCATGCAAAGGAACAACAAGAGACATCAAACTTTATGTCGTATACATGCAAAAATATGGTCAAGCAAGTAAGCAGGCTGTAGTCGAGTGAGCTCGACTACGATATACCCTGAACTCAGCTGTTACATATATAATAGTTTAATCTTCTGTAAGTGCACTCATATCATGTTTATTTTTAGAGACGGACATGAATATATCGACCCGACGGTTGAGCCTGATCAAGAATATATATACTCTATAGGATCGGAGATACTTCCTTCTATCTGTTACATATATTTCAACAAAATCATTAAACCCTCTTTTCCCATTTTCAATGGGTTCAGGGTATAAAGAGTACCAGACGCGACGCGCTCTTTCCAAAGACCCGAAAGCACAGACCAAAGGCAAAGCAAAGCCAGTTTTACTTGAGTTTGAGCGTTTCTTGAGTGCTTTCGCTCGCACAGCGAGCGACTTTAACTGCCGCCTAACTCAGTTCAGTTGTGTTTTAAACAGCAGCAAGACAGCACGTACGAACTGTTAACACGCGCTTTACGCACGTGTAAAAGTGCAGCAGCTTCGAAAAGCACTCAACAACAACAACAGAGAGAGAGAGGGAGAGAGAGTGAGAGAGAGAGAGAGAGTGAGATAGACAGAGCGCTCGCTCTTTCATTGACAAAGTGTAAAGTGCAAAGCTGGCAGCATCGTCGACGTCAACGTCGTCGTCGCCGTTGAACGCAGCTCAGCGCAGCTCAGGTCTCAGTTTGGCCAGCGCCTTGAAGTCAGTCTTAGTTGCAGCCTGAAGCTAACCGCACGCGTTTATGAATTCGCTCAGGTCCGTGATATTTAGTGACAAGATCAAGAGCGATACTGCGATATAAAATGTGCCGATATTAATAAATACAGTAACAACAACAACAACAACAAAAGTCTTTTACATTTGTCATTGATATTATACGACGCGTGTGTGAATATTGCTCGATACGATACGAGTTTGTGCCTTAAGTCTTCTGTTGTGCAAGAGTAATCATTTGCCAGTGGATTACAACAAAGAGGATCAGCACACACAACAGCCTAGCAACAAGTTGTGCAAACATACGCACAGTTGACGACATTTAACGACTCTTTCCAACAAATCCATACACACATTAACACACTTACACACACACACACACCCAGTGACAGTTGGACAGGAAACTTATTCAGAACGCGCACTGTAAGTGTAAATTTGTTGAGTAAACAAAACAAAATTTGGATTTTTAAGATTTGGAGTTTGACGAACTGGCACTTCAAGTGCTACATTATTGCAGAAAATTATTTCGTAAAAATCATTATCGCAGTCCACATATTGAACAGTAACAACTGCCTAAAGTATTCGAGTTATAATAAGAATATTAGTAAAACAATAAATATTCTTTTTAAACAACAAATGGCCGCAGCTATATTGTTCCATTCTCTTTTCAATCACTTTGTGCGCGCTACAGCTTTGTCAGGCCGTCCAACATTGTCAACATGACCAACAAAAAATAAAAATAAAAGAAAACACTTAAAAATTTAAAAATAAAATTAAAACGAACTGTACGTTTGCTCAGCGTGACTGTACCCCAGGCAAACCCCCTTGCCCAGCTCCAGCCATGGCTACTGTTTATTCAAAATGTGCAAATACTTACCAGCTCAATCGCTACGCATACAAATTGACAGATTTTGCTTGCTGTCTCACCTAAAACGCTTATAGAATATTTTCAAATGTTGCCGAATAAGCGATTCAAATAAGGATTCACATTTGCTCGCTGTAGGGATTTTTTGATTTGATTATATAAGTTAATCATTTTAAAGTTGAGCTCGTAGTTCGGAATATTTGTTAACTAGCTTGTAGAGTGTACATTTTTATAAGACACTTTAGTGTTCTGTTCTTAGATTATTTATTTGAAATTCGGTGTCACATCATTGAGTATCATTAGGCTTTTAATATTTGTGCATGAAAAATCAGTGTCTGAGTTGATGTCCGTGCTTATTATTGTTCCTGATTAGTAAGTCCCGTTAAGTATATATATTTGCAATCTAGTCTATATTAGATATTTAAAACTGCCGCCTAAGTAAACACTCAACAACAATTTACTTTACTAATGATATGTTGTTCAAATGATCTATGCAGTATTTATTATCGAATCTCAGTACAATATTAAACACTTGCAAGACAACTCGATTGAGCTCAGTTTCCAGGTCGATTCTAATTGGCTATAATTAACAAGTATGGCGACGATGACTGCACTGGGCAAGAGGTCAACTGCAGCTTACTAGCATGGCCGGCATTGCGGCTTAAAGATACACTATAAGGCAGTTGTATCTCTCAGTTTACGTGCTTGCGCTGTTGCTAACGATTTCGAGCAAAGTTCAGCGTAAATAGCTGTTGTGACTTTTTTGCATTTTCATTGCACAGACACAAATACACAGATGAAAGTACTTATAGAGATATACACAGATACAGAGATATAAGCAGTAAACAACGACTTTAATAATATTGTATTTGAATATATGTTAAACTGCATTCATTGTCGCATGTTGTGCACCCAACGACCTTCGTCGGGGGCCCTGAACATTTATTGTCAAGGTTGGTTTTCTTTCCACTCTCGTTGCGTGCATTTCCGAAGTGTGCAACGCTTCAAGCTTCAACGTGAACTTGTATTTTCGGCTCGGGGGTTTTTTCACTTTTGTTTCGTTTCGTTTCGCTTTTTTGTTATTTTTTATAGATTTTTTGTTTCGGGTTTTGCTTCTTTTATTTTTGTTTTTTTTTTTTTCTCCTGAGATCTCTGTGTTTTTGTCACTCGCAGCAACGGTTTTGAGCAGAGTTCAAGGTGTATTCATAGTGTATAATGCAAATTAAATTTAGCTCTTGGCTGTTTCTAGTTGCATTTTTTCATAAGCGACATTTAATTAAAATCAAGGTAAATGCGCTATTAACTTTATATTATGTCAAATATATAATTCTAGTTTATTTCGATTAAGTAGTTATTAAACTAATTAAAAATAGTTTGCAGTTGATTTTATACATTTTTTTTTATACTCAGAGATTTTACAAATACATAAGGATAGCTGCATTTACGATGAGCTAAGCACTTTTAAAAACTGGTAGCGTGGCCATTTAATGATAGAGTCTAATGGATCAATTAAAAACGCTTTGCTACGAACATTAAGGCAGCAGATCGCTTTTAATTTGAAAGTTTGTTAGTCTTAGCCCCTGCTTGAACTCTTAGCCCTAATGAGCTTGATGACATGACACCTGTCAGCTTCAAGTTAACAATGTATTTATTGCGATAATCTCATTGAAATGTCATCATAATAGGTACACACACTGACATTTAAATCAATATTGATAATAAAACGCTAAAGAAATTACTTTTTTCAACGTTTGAGTAAATTAAGAATGTAATTATATCTTTCACAAGTGTGTTCACAACTGGTAAACAGTTGTTAAAGTTCTCGTGGCTTTTCATTTCACAAAGTTTCCGAACGTTTCTTTATTGTGCTGTGTTCGTTTATGTAACGTCAAAGGTAATTCAGAAAATTATTTATTAATTGTGGCAATTGTACATTCTCTTTCGTGGCAGCAGTTGTGTTATTAAATCAAGCTATGAGCCAGAGACTGGTTTATTCGTGCATTGCTTGTCGTGTGTGCGTGCTGCAAGTGTGCTTTGGTCAAAGTAAAAATCAGTTAAGATTTAATTTTAAACATCTGCAAGCAAGTGGCAAAATCGTTGGATCGCTTGATTGCCAAATTCTCTGCAATAAAATGCTGATTATCTAAGGATGACAATATAGCCGTGCTGTTGTTTGCTGGTGCGGGTGAGTTAGCCGCTCAACCAGTTGCAAGCTGCCACAATAGCAAAAATAATTAAATTCAACTAAACTTAGCAATGAGTAAATTAAACTCAACTGGTTTGCAAGTTTTTGCAATAGTCAAATGCCGCTACCGTTGCCGAAGCAAAAGCCGAAGAAGTAGCAACAATTGCAGACACAAAACTGTGTCGTACACAACTGCAACTGCACACACGTCATATGCTGCCCGCACACACATACACACACATACTGCAAGAAATTATGTCATCGGAAAATCAAGCAAAATTAAAATGAAAACGCCATGGAAATAGAAAGAGTTAACAGAAATTCAACAGAGAGCGAAAGTATTGCCAAGATATTGCCAACGATTTCTCAACTTGGCCATAAGCCAAAGCAGTTCTAAGCCCATTTAGACATATCAGCCCTCTAGGGCTTGGCCTGTCCTTAAATCCACTTTAATGACTGTCACATGCCACGGGCAAGTGCTATTTACTTTGAAATGCCACGCACGCAAGTCATCAGCATATAAATTATTAAGTAGTAAGCACTTGTATATTCAGCTATTCATAAAATCCATTTTGGATTTTCCGGTACGCAAACAGATCTGGCTAAGTATAGTTGTGCAAAATTTGTCTCGGAGTTTGCCGCAAGTTTACCGATTACCTCATTAAAATAAAAAAGCAAATTGAAATTATATAGATATGTGTATATCATTGTATTTATTTTATGTGTACTGGCCACTTAAAAAGTCAGTTGCCTGGCCGATATTGCTCAATAATTAGCAATCACTTTTTGTACTCTTACCGAGTGTATTTTTACTTTGTGGAGAAGTCACAATATCTATGAATCTTTTGCAAATAAGCATCGGACTCAATTTGCAGACATCAAAATTTGTATCCAGAGATACGCCTCAAACGCATTTTATTGATACGTTGTCTGTTTTACGAGTTACTGAGAAATAAATATTCTACATATATGTAGTTATATATGAAAATGAATACTTTATATAATTTAACCTTAATATACCATCCAAACGGATATGATGATGCATAATAAGACAAGTCGTGAACATGTGCATTGAGGAGTATTAAAGTTTCGACTTGCTGAACTTTTCTTTGTTTGTTAAAACCAGTTGAGTAAATTATTTATCTATTTGTGGGCTTGGCCACTCAATTTGTATTCTGAGATTTTATATTGTTGCTTGCCTGTGCCACAGATCCATTCAACCTACTGAATCCACTTGACGAAGTTATTGCTCACTTATAATATATATCAAAGTGCAGCGAGACGACCGTTATTGAATATGATGAAATTCTATATTTATAAAATATTTTAGTGTATTTAATAATGCATTCTATGTTGCCCGGAAATCAATTGCATGTCTCGTGCTACTATTGTTACTATTAGGAGGTATTTACCCTTAAAAGTTATAATATCATCTACAGTGATAGCGGAGAGCACTTAAGCCATGCCGCCCAAAATGGTGCCAAAGTCAAAGACGTACAAAAATGATTTCAAATCAATGAATAATACTATTAAAAAGTATTATTATTGTTGTTGTGGATAACGACTTTTAGATTCTGGTTTGATATGCTTTTGAACTGTACGATAATATGTTGTGTAATAATACGATTGAAAATGTGATTATTGTTGTAGTAGCTACTTTTAGACTCTGGCTTTACATGTATGATAAAATGTTGAAAGAGTGGAAGTGGCAACAACTGTTGGCATTATCAGTATAGTAAATACTAGCAGAAACCTAACCACAAGTTGTTGATTGTATGAGTGAGAGAAGTTAGAAAATTAGAAAGGTCGTAAATAAATATCTGAAAAGCGATCAATGTCTGTCTTTACATTATTTAAAACGAGTCAACAAACAGCTCATGCGTACTCAAACAAGAAAATACACTTTGAGCTCGTCAAACTTCAAGTCAGCGCATGTATAAAAAAAATCACAATTACCGCTCCAAACCTTATTATTGTTTATTTTTTTTATTATATTTATATATGTACATTTCAGAAATGTGGGCATAAAACGCAAAACGCTACTTGAATATTGCAAAAGATTGGTGGCCGCAACGCACAGCTACGGGTTACGATTCGAATTTTCATTTTTTGTTATTGGTAAAAGTAAAGGCAGAGTAACTAATATTTAAATAGGTAAACAAAGTCAAAAATAAAGCTTAAGATAATCAAAATAAACACCCACCGCAGGCGGCGCAACAAAACTGAAAAAAAAACCACACATCAAAATGCTGATATCAACGTAAGTAAAAGTAGACATCAAAACAACAACGACAACATCAATTGTGTTAATTGCAATCAAAATGTAATGCCCAAAGTACAAAAGAAAAAAAAATACGATAAAAGTAACACAAACTCTATATTTGACCCACTAATGTTGACCCAGTTGAAGATGGAATTTTTATATAAAACTCGATTTTGGCTACGTCAATCTGCCAATAAGTCAATAAGTTCACATCACTTAGTCAGTCAGTCAGTCGGTTAGCTAGTCTTCCTGCTGCTGTTGCTCATTGCTTTTGCAGCGTGTCTCGCTCAATATTGCATAATCTGTGCAGCTCTCGGCTCTGCTCACTCGCTGAGAGCGAGTGAGACGCTTGTTGCCTGCGATTTGACTTTTCCTACGCTTTGCAGCTTTTGCTTTTTGCCACATTTTCTGTTAGTGTATGTGTGTGCGTGAGTGTCTGTATAGTGTCTGTGTTTGTGTGTGTGAGCATCTCTGTATCTCTGTTTTGCATATATTTCCGAAAAGTCCGACCGCATTTCTGAGCAGGGCGAACAAGTTTGCAATTGTGTCAAACACTCGGACTCAAATAGCCAATTGCATAATGTAAGGTTCCGAATAATTTTGGAACGAACTAAGAAGTTAAGAAATTTATGTATTGAATGAAAATTCTGTAAGAAATTTTCTCTCTCTCCTCGCCGACGTGAGCAGGCAAAGTACACTTGTTGGCATTGCATATTCCTTACAGATCGCGCGTATTTATTGAAATTCCAATCATTCAAGTGTGGCGAGCTCGAACTTGCCGCCCGCGAGGTAGAGAGAGAGATGCGACTGAGAGGCATGTTAAATGCGTTTGCATGTTTACCTGTTCACGTTGCGTGCTTTGTATTCACTTGATTACATGCGATTAGATAGCTCAATCATAAATCATTTTCCAGCAGCGATTGGTTTTTGTTGTCACACACGTGCAATTGCAGCTCAGCTTATGCAAGTACATTATTGCTGAATATAAAAGTTATTCACTCGTTTCCTGCTCGCTGACTCAGCAGCGACTGACGTACAGATTTACAATAGATCATCAAGCCAACCAGTGGACTAAGAAGATCGATTTGTGGGTGTGCGGACCTCTGATAATAATATAATTATTAACTGTCATGGGTGTTTAACTGTGTATTTTGCACTTTACGTCGTGTTAATGTGGAGCCTAGAGTATACCCCTAAGCGAATACCTTGAATAATTATAGTTTTCGCTTTACAAAAAATTTATTTAAATATGACAATACGGTGAGAGGAATCTTTAATTAACTTTTCTGTAGTCACAAACCCAAAAAAAAAAAAAAATACATATCCACAAATTTTTAGTTTATGTGTCAACCATTTCTCACGGCATATTTTGTAATTTTATTTTGTCACCCAACAACATATACTAAATATATGTGTGGACCACTAAATAGAGCTCTAATAGTTGATTAAATGATCAATAAGCAGACACAAACATCAAACAACATACAACATACAAACAATAGGCTCAGCTTTCAGCCATAAATGCCGAGCGCACGCAAAAAAAAAAAAAATAATATATCGAAAAATGTTGGCCTGTTGTCATTATAAAAACTACTTTGACTGACCTTGTCCATTGTTGAATGTGCGCGCACACGGCACACACAAATTTACGCAATTTACGCATACACAAACAATAAATGTTGGCTCTGACTAACTCGATAATCAACATAATACGCAAATCGAAAGACTCAATCAACGAACTTGAAATACATTTCGTCAACGACTTGCTGCTTCATAGTTGTTGTGATTGCTGTTATTGCAGCATGAAGTTTCCGAAATGCGTATCACTTACAGAATTCATTTGGACAAAGCTAAAATGTCGCCGCAGTAGACAAATATTTTCTGTTAGACTGTGCTATTGAGTATGTTTTCTTCGCACTCTGCGTCATCATCACCAATTGTGTAATGTGTCGATCTAATGGGCTTTCATGCTGTCTGCGATCTAAGCTTATACAATATGCAATAATGTGCTATCTGATTAAATTTATTCAATGAGCTGCCAGAGCAATGGATTTACAAAAAGCAAATAGTGAATCGATATCCGTTTTTTGATAGCAGTGAAGTGAACGCTGGCGTTCGATCAATGACCTTGAACTTATTTCCATCAATTTGATGTTGGTATGATTACCGTTTTGTTAATGACTTAAAAATTGTTTTCCAAAATTAAAAGAAAAGGTGTAAATTTAATATATGTGTGTCTGATAACGATTAAAAGTAAGCCAATTAGTAGCTTTCTTTGCCAACGGAAGGAAATCATTTAGCCCATGGCAAGGTGATCGGTATAGCTAACCTTGACCCAAATGAGATGCAAATTTTCCCAATGTTTGCTTTTGTGGTCATTATTGCAGTTTGGGGCATGTGCTGACGGCTAAGCGCCTTCGTTTGAGTAGTTACCAGCTTATTTGGATTGGAATTCCGCAATAAGCACGTCACATAATAATGCAAATGCAATGGCGAATGCAATTTATACTAGTATTCACTTAAAGGCTGACCAACTTGTCGATGCAGTTGAGAAATCAAGCAGTCTAGACAATACCTGGCCAGGTCTGGCTACTCGGGGGCATCTGCTAGCATGCCGAAGTGTGTGTGTGTAGCAATAAAAATAAATAAATAAAATAAAGTGTTGAGTAAATTTTATTTCAACTTTAGAATTGATGATTAAATTTTATGAATTTGTTAAAAACTATTAGGTATTTTTGTAGTAATTTTTTAAGCTATTCTAAGTCTAGCGCTTTTATTGACGTATTTGAATCTAATCTATATTTTATCAATTGCAGTGTCTCCACAGACTCCGTTATGACGGCCACAAACAACGATGGTGGCACACAACAGAGTCCGGTTGCCGTTTGGAATGCACCCCCGACGATTGCACGCAGCACACAGGCGGCCGTATCAGTGCAACACGCTTTTAAAGTATATGGAAAGAAGAAAAACGCCAATAAGGTGTTGAACAATTTGAATATGACAGTGCCAAAAGGCACAATGTAAGTACATAAATAAGTATATAGTCGAATATCTCGACATATCGAATACTAATCAAGATTTCAACCAAAGTGAAATGTTGACATATTCCATTAACAGGCCACTACAAAATTAGAAACGGCGAAAGTAATTCACACATACATTCATTCATACATTTCACACATTTAACGTCATATTGAATTTTATGGCACATTTAAACAATAATATATAGAGAATAACATTCAATGTTACAAAAAGTTCCTTGTAATTGCTATTCGATTGCACAACTGGAGAGCATTTTCCGTATAGATGTACCAAAGGTTATTTGATTGCTTGCAACTTTAATCGCCGTAATTAACGATCTCAATACTGGGTAACAAGTTTTCAACGTATCATAAGTGAAACAACATTTTTGCATTATAATTAGATGCTGCGGCAAATTAAACGAGTTAAACTTAAGGTTTTGCAATACTTGTTATAGATATATTGCAGGGTTGCCAGAGTTGTTGATAATATTATATTTGGGTTGAGCGATTTAGAAATGTTTATTCATATTTAGCCTAAGGAAGACTTAACGGTGCCAATGCCAATACCGACTTCTTTATCATTAAAATATTATAATATACTTGCATTTTAATGTTGGGCCCAAGCCTTCACAGTAATCGTATCTTCGATATAAATTTCTTTAATTTTTCTTGGTCTTTCTTTTGCACATTATTGATATATCGCCATAAAAGTATTACAGTATATATGATTATGATTTTTGGGTTCGGCATTGGCATGACTGTTGACAGAGCATTCTTATAGCCAAATTTATATAGCAAGCAAGTCATAAAATTAAAAATTGCTTAATTATTTTGAATTCTGTGTGTTGAGTACATATAAATACCGCAATCTTGACCCAGTATTCAAATCCTCGACTGTTGCTTAGGTAAGATAGTAGCCGGCTAAAACATCAGTTCAACACGATCAGTTTTGTCTTGACCTAGGTCAGTTGACAGTCAATGAACTGTTCGTAGAGCTCATAGTTCAACACAGGTAATTTTATTTTTAGGTCGTTTGGTTGTGTCAAAGTCGCTGCGATAGTTAAATGTTGGACAGTCAGATTTTCATGAGCAAAAATTCGATTCGAAAAATGCTGCAACGTGTTAATTATAATAATAAATCCAATAACAAGCCGAGACGTGCGACCTACGTGCTGCTAAATATTTTAAAGGCCGAAAACTGAAAGACAAAAATTAAATGGCTCTAAAGCGAAGCGATAACAACAGCAACAACAACAACAATATTATTATTAATAATAATATGAATAATCGCTTTGTTGTTGTTTTGTCAGTTTCGTCTGATTTTCATGATGATTGCTAGGGTCTAGCTAAGAAGGTGGAGTTGTGTTAAACGACTGCGAAAACATGTCTCCGTTTGCAAGGTGAACCTTTCGAAATAATTCAACTTGAACCGCTGAAAATAGCATTGACACTGCCGTTAAGACGGCACAAATGATATTACATGCCTCCACTAACTTATAAGTGGTATAAGTATAAGTACACATGTACTCGCCAGCACTTATTTTTTAATTTATCTCATTTATGTGCTGAACTAGCAGAAACGCATTTTGTTAACGACTCAATGGGAAAAACTAAAAGTCAAATCAGAACGATTTATCAGTAAAGCTAGTATTTTTACACTACACCAACAACTTATAGGTAGGAACAGATTTCATCCCATCGTTGGATAGAAATTAGCTCTCTTTAAAAATTTCGGTTTGAAACATTTGTTGGATTTTAGCTTTTTAGGAGAATTGCATCAGTTTAATAAATCAAATATTCAGAATATTTAATTTTTTGGATATTCGGGAAAATAAGTTTCGTCTCATCATTGCATCTGTATTCTGTTCGTAGAATTTATTCCGCACTATTTATGAATTATTTATGTATTTTTATATATTATTTATGTTATTTAATTTGTATTTCAATTGGAAACTCTCTCAGCTATGGCCTGTTGGGTGCCTCCGGTTGCGGTAAAACCACACTGCTCTCGTGCATTGTGGGTCGTCGTCGTTTGGACTCCGGAGATATATTCGTGCTGGGCGGCAAACCGGGCACACGTGGATCGGGTGTGCCCGGTAAACGAGTGGGATATATGCCGCAGGAAATCGCGCTTTATGGTGAGTTCTCCATTCAGGAGACGATGATGTACTTTGGCTGGATCTTTGGCATGGAGACCAAGGAAATACTAGAGCGCTTGCAGTTTTTACTCAACTTTCTCGATCTGCCATCGGAGAAGCGTCTGGTCAAAAATCTCAGCGGTGGGCAGCAGCGACGTGTTAGTTTCGCTGTTGCACTAATGCACGATCCGGAGCTGCTGATTCTGGATGAGCCAACGGTGGGCGTGGATCCGCTTTTGCGTCAGAGCATTTGGAATCATTTGGTGCACATTACCAAGGCCGGTCAGAAGACAGTAATCATAACCACTCATTACATTGAAGAGGCGCGACAGGCGCACACGGTAAGTAACCTGATTAGCTATCAACTTGTGGATCTTGATTTGGTGTTTATTTTTCAGATTGGCCTGATGCGCTCTGGCCATTTACTGGCCGAGGAATCGCCCAGTATGCTGCTCTCCATGTATAAGTGCATCAGCCTGGAGGATGTCTTCCTGAAGCTCTCGCGCATTCAGAGCGAAAAGGGCGACGTCACTTATGTGAACTTTAGGTGAGTCTCAACTCTTTGCTCTGCATGCTGCACGTAGCAATTAACAGTAACTGAAACCCAAAAACATAATTCCGTCACTCATCTAATCTTTGTCTCTCTCGATTATCATTTGACCCGGCACTCGCATGCTTGCAATCTGTGTAAAAATCCATCTGTGTGTCCCTTTATTCGTGTTCGTGTGCTCGTTATTGATTTCGGTGACAGTAACAACATCTCATTGCATGCCATGGCCTTTGGCAGCAAGATGGACAAGCCCAGCTCTAGTCAGGAGGGCGGCGTTGTGGGTCTCAATTTCCACCAGAGCAAGGAGGTGCTCATCAATGATAGCAATGGCTCCATATACACGGTTCGTTTACCCATAACAGCGCCGCTATTCAGACTTCTAACAAATGTTAAAAATGTTTTTACAGTTGAACCAGGAGACGTACAGTCCGCCACCATCGAAGCGACATAACAATCCCAACGATGAGGAGAGCTGTCAGGATTGCTTTGCGGATCTATGCAAGGTCACCTCAAAGGGCAAAATACGCGCCCTGCTAACCAAGAATATGCTCCGCATGTGGCGAAACGTTGGCGTTATGCTCTTCATTTTTGCGCTGCCAGTGATGCAGGTTATACTCTTCTGTTTAGCCATTGGCCGGGATCCGCAGGGCCTCAATTTAGCCATTGTCAACAACGAAATGAACAACACGGTTAGTGCCTTTATTTCTTGTCTAACCATCAATACAATCTTTATTTATTTTGTCGTTATATGTTAAATTTTACAAACGTTGCGTATCTCAATTTTGAGGCCATTCTCCTTCCGGTTAAAATATTATTATTATGATATTAGAAACGGTTATTTCTTTTGTGATATTTATATTTAATATTCAAAGATATTATCAGCCATTTATATATTGGATATTTAATTTAAAATAAATATTTTGTTCCCTTGGTAGGATACCTGCTATTGGGAGGATGGTTGTCACTTTGCTAACCTAGGTTGTCGCTATTTAAATCATCTGAACACCAGTGTGGTTAAGACATATTACACGGACATTGAGGATGCAAAGGCGGCAGTGCGACGCGGTGATGCTTGGGGCGCTGTCTATATAACAGAGAACTTTACGGACGCGTTCACGGCACGCGCTGCTTTGGGTCGCGATTCGGATGATGAGACGATTGAGCAGTCCGAGGTTAAGGTGTGGTTAGACATGTCTAATCAACAGATCGGCGTCATGCTCAATCGCGACATTCAGTTGGCCTATCGTGACTTTGCCATGGGTCTGCTCGGCCAGTGCGGCAACAATCCTAAGCTGGGCGATGTGCCTATACAGTTTAGGGAGCCCATCTATGGCACCATGAATCCATCCTTTACCGATTTTGTCGCACCTGGCGTGATTTTGACGTAAGTGTTAATATATATGCATTTCCATTATAACAATTTATATATTTGCTGTGCATTTTTTAGCATTGTCTTTTTCTTGGCTGTGGCATTGACGTCATCGGCGCTGATTATCGAACGCACTGAGGTGGGTAAAGAATAAAAATAATAGTATAGCACTGCACACGTATTGTATATTTGAGAGTGTGTTACTGTAAATGAATAACTCATTTGTTCGTATTTATTCAGAATTTACTTTAAAAAAATATGAATTTCTTTGAGATTAAACATTGAAATTCACTTTTGAAGAATCAAACGTCATTGAAATGCATTCATTTGAATATCATGTACAATAAATAATATAAATTAATGAATCTTACTCATTTCTTAGGGCTTGCTGGATCGGTCATGGGTTGCTGGCGTCTCGCCAGGTGAAATTCTTTTCTCGCATGTGATCACCCAGTTTGTGGTCATGTGTGGCCAGACGACGTTGGTGCTTATCTTCATGTTGGTTGTCTTTGGTGTGACCAATAATGGTGATCTATTCTGGGTGATTGTGCTTACGCTGCTGCAGGGCATGTGCGGCATGTGTTTCGGTTTCCTCATATCTTCCATCTGTGAACTGGAACGTAATGCCATACAGTTGGCTCTGGGCTCTTTTTATCCCACATTGCTGTTATCAGGCGTTATTTGGCCTATTGAGGGAATGCCTGTTGTGCTGAGGTGAGCTCAATAAATGTCTAACGCTCTCAAGAGATTACCTCAAGCTTTCCACTTATTTTACAGATACATTTCACTGTGCCTGCCGCTGACACTGGCCACATCCTCGCTGCGTTCTATTCTGACGCGTGGTTGGGCGATATTCGAGACGGATGTGTATATTGGTTATGTGAGCACGCTGTCCTGGATATTAGGCTTTCTGGTGCTGACGCTTTTGGTGCTGCGCTCCAAGCGCGGCTGAAGCGGAGTTTAAGTTATAGATCAACTAACTTTAAATACGTCAAACTATTTTAGTTTGCGCCTAGACTTGGTCGCCTTTAGTAGTCATTCCCACATCCTAACCTTCCGTTTTACATCCTTTCCCCTCTTTAAATAAGTATGCTATGATTATCCCGGTCTATACTATCTTCTTTTTCTTTTACTTCTACTAATAAGCCCAAAATGTCATAAAATATTTAAGCACACACGCAATTTCTTTTTCTTGTATACACTCGATTCTGCAAACTTTTCCTTAATTTAAGTTTTGCACATTTTCGTAGCGTAAAATGTAAGGTTTAGGTATATAAATAAAATGTTGTAAATATTTAGAAATGCAACTTTATCAGAAATCATACGAAGGAAGTCAAATAACCAACGACGCAAAGCAATTTTATGATATTTACACAATTCTGTTTCAGAATCGTTTTTCTTTAACAATCAATCAAAACAGAAAAAAACAAAAAAAAAAAATGAAAAAAAATCAAACGGGCTAAAAGCACACAACTAATTTAATATATTTTCAATGGACTGTGATTGTACTTTTTTTTTGTTTTGATATTGCACTCAAATTCAAGTTTGGAGGAATAGACGTAAAAAGAAACATGCAAATAAAAAACAAAAAACAATGGTGGGTTTGTTATTAAGATTAAGTAGCTTAAGGCATTTTTGTATGGGTTTAAGTTTTTTGAGTTAAAACGTAATTAAATACACTTATGTCAACTACACTACTTACATAATAATGTTAAATATTAGAGTTCTATGAAAGCGGAATGCAGAGTTCTCGACGAACAAAAAAAAAAACGAATATAACTACATTTTTCATATTTAAGCAAAAAAAAACTTATGTAATTATGTATAAATAACAATCGAAATAAATAAAATACCAATCAAAAATGTAATATCTTAATTTAAGCATTGAGGCATGCTCGCATTTTCAATTTAAATTGGCGCTTAAATGGTTGGACAAATTATACAGCACTAACATTAGTTAGTTGAGTTGGCAGCACCGCAATTTCAGTGCTGCCCAGCGCTTGCACAAAGCAGATGTTTGCTGTGCGCTCTCATTTGCAAGAGGAAGCATAATAACAAAGAAAATTCGTACGGCGAAAATACTCAACGATTGCAAATAAACAAAATGTGATAGCCACACAATTGTTAAGTCAAAGCAAACTCTACAAAATGGACAAGTCTAATGCTTACGAGAAATTCACAGGCTATGTGGACCAGCTGCGTAACACAGAATGCAGGTGAGCGTTGGTTTGCATTCGCCTTAATTATTTCCACTGAGGTTACAACAGACCGGCAACAGTTTGCCATTGCGCAAAAGGAAATTGGGCAAAGGTCCTGCACATAAAGTACTCTAATATAATTATTGAGCAAATAACATTGCATCGAGGTGCTGCAAAAGCTTCAAAACGGAAATGCATTGGACATCGGGTATGACGTCATCGCAGGTGACTAATTGTCCAAACTAAAATCAGAGTCCGATAATTAGTTCCGCAAATAACCAAGAAAACTAGCCCATACTTGTAAAAAAAGAAGAAGAAAATGGATCCAAAGCCAAATCCTATTAAAGCCTACCCAATTTGGATGCACCATTTTGAAGTATTCGCTTCAGTAACCTTACAATTTTGTCTCATCTCACAGCCAAAAGCAAAAGATTGCCTGCTTCCAGCAAATTGCCGAGTGCATCATGTCACCGGCGCTGGCCGCTCACATCAATTATGCGGCGCACTGTGGCACAGCCACAAATGTGCTGTTGTTATTCTGTGAGGATTTTGACTCAGTGGTGCGAATGAGTGCCGAGGAAAACCTTAATAAAATCTTCCGTGCCTTGGAAAAAACGCGGGTCAGTCGCATCTTGATGGATTTGTACGGGGAGATCAAGCGAAACGGTAATCAGCGGTATGTGTAACCTCTTACATACGAGTATATTAATATACCCAAAAATAACTTTGATTTCTGTCGTGGTGCCAGCTCTCTTCGCATATGCCTGAATTTGTTCTCCTACTATGCACCTCAAATCAAAGAAAAACACATCAAATGGTATGCTGTGCGCCTGCTACAATGCATCTCCATTATGTCGCAGCGGAAGGAGACGCAGTTGCAAGAGACACTCTGCGATTTCGTAAAGCATTTTGGTCGTCACGTGCAGCAGGGTCTCAACGATAGTGAAACGTGTAAACTTTTTGAGGTAAATCAGCTACAAAATATATATATCTTCACATAGATAAAGCTCCTTAAATTATGCTAAGTTGTTTCATATAATTATAGAATATAGTATATGGAATATGTAATATATATTTTCCATTTGTATTGCTTATAGACTCATATTGAACAGAGAAATTAACATTGTAATTTTAATTAGATGTTTTCGATTCAAAAATATTTACACATATGTAAATAATAAGTTTGTTAATCAGTTTTAATATAATACTTGAAAACAGGATCAGGAAAGGGTGTGGTTGCATATTGCTACAATGATGCTGTATTTTTACCATCCACCTCGTATTGCTCGATTCAAAAATGCGTTATTATATATAATTTAAGGATGGTATTGCTTTTGAAATTCAGTTCAATTCAGCGGTCAGCGTAGTTCAAATCTAGAGGCAAGTTTTGACTTAGTTACGGCAAGTAGATTTTTGAAACAGACACTAAATTGTAAGTTAAGTTCATTGAATTCCTTAGTTTTCAACATCAAACTTAAAAAGTATTTTAATTAGACAAGTTGGCAAGCTGACAAGTTGCCTCAACCCATCTCTCAACTAGCAGAGCGTGGCTCGCATTAGTAGATTTAGTTGGTTGTTGACTCATTTCTCAATTTCTTTCATTGCAGACGTTTCTCGACAACATCAGCGCTGATTGTGCAGTTAAGCGTCGCTGTTCGGCCCAAAATTGCATGACTTTGATTGAGCATGCGCGCAATAGAAGCCTTATGGCCAGACATGGACTGAACAAAGTGATTGGTAAGCCAACAATTGCCGGATGCGAGATGTGCACGTGCATAGCCAATAGGAATACAAATTGCAAGTGTATAGATTCCTAATCGCATGAATATTTAGGATTATTTCTGTTCTCATTGCTTGCTTTTTATTTCTTGAGCTTTATCGTGTGCCAAATGTTGTTGCAGCTTGCTTTTGTTGTTGCATTTATGCGACACAAGCACATAAATGTGGTTTATTTGTATACAAAGTATTTTATTTATTTTCTAGTAGAAACACTCTCTTGAATTGTATATTTTATTATTTGTATTTTTTCTCTTCACTGCAGACGGTATTTAATCCTAAGTGGGCTAGATTAGATCACTACATAAAGCATATATTTGGTTTGAAAACTATCGGTCGATAAGTATGGACTTTTGTGAACATCGGTTTAGTGTTCTAGAATATCTTAAGCAAACTCATCAATCACGATCTTTATTTTGCTACAAGCATTTAATAAATATTAAAATATTATATCGTGCAATGTGGCAAACGGTGTTTAATGTTCGACACCCAAATTAATTAAAAATTTATTTTTTTTTTTTGTTTAGATTTTCTATGCAGTTTTTATTTATCGATAATAATAAGACAAAAAACAAAATGAGCAGTGCAAGTATGCATTGTAAAATACCTAAACTCATAATATGTTAAAAAATTAGTCAACAAGATTTCTGAAACGTAAATAATTTTTTTATTGAATTTTCATGTAACCTTTTTTATTGGTAAACATTCCGTTAACGTACATGAATCTACAAAAATTTGAATATGTACATTACAATTTTACGAGTCGTTTTCTAGTGCACGAGCGCAAGTCGACTTTTTCAGTTACCTTAAAACCATATTCAAATCTTGACACACGGATTGTATTTTTTATTGTGAAATATTATTTATATTCAGTTTAAACTAAGATAATTTCTTGGCTGGTCAAAGTCAGTTTTGTGTATATAATACCAACGTTATTTGCATCCTTCCGGTAGAACATTGCGCTTTTCGGCTCTTACTTGTTTACCTTCGAATCAACTCCTTCAACTCTTGTCCTCCTCCTCTGTGTTGCTGTGGCTGTGTCAACTTTAAGCCACTCGGCAAGTGAATACCACAATGGCTGGCATCCACAACAAAAATATCTACTCAGCGCACAGTCTGCCGCCTCTTTTTATGGCAACCATCAGTATAGTACTTGCCACACTTGCTCCCTCTCCACCCACTTGTAGGTACCTTGTGTCTTGTGCGTTGCGCCTTGGCATGTCCCAGCAAACACTCACAGAGTAAGGTCCTTAACGCTATTGCTCTTGCTTCTCTTTCTTCTGCTGTTTGTCTGCTTATTTGAGGTTGTAAGGCTGGCAAAATGAAATTTATGCACTTGGACACTTCCCAGTAATAATTCATGCGAAATTGAATCAGATATTCATTCCTGTGCAGCTTTAAAAGGATAATCAACTTTATAAACAACAAGCCAAACAACAGCTGCACTAAATTTATGCAGACAGCAATTGTCACGTCTATTCGTTGCAAACACAAAAAGTTTAACTTGTACACAAATAGCCAAGTGACCAAGCTAAAAAGCTACTAAATTACCAGAAATCGCTTCTGTGATAGCTCATAATTGAATACCGTCTGCACTAGTAAAGTTTAACAATTTGATAAATGGGCCTACGCGAAAATGAATGAATGAATGAGTTAACAGTTTTACTAATATTAAGACCAATTGATTTCTTGGCAATCTATAATATAAGCATTAGAGTTGTACTCGTATCCATTTACTATTGTTTATTTACAGAAACATATGTGTTACTGATTTCCTTTTAAATTTTTGTCGTTAAGTTGTGCAAAAATATTTAAGAGGCATAAGCAAGCATCTCCCGCCCAACAAAGTATAATTACTCTTGATAAGGAGTAACAGCCGAGTAAATCTAGCCATATTTGTCTGTTCTATTACTATCAAAATATGCAATTATTTGTATTACTTTATTTATGTTGATTCACACATATGCATATGTAGTCCTTAATAGTTGTTGTTTCATAGTCCGCTAATAGTTTTTGTTTCTATCTAAATTCAATTTTTTCATCACTAAAGATGACATTCGGCCGTTATCCAAATTTGGTACTTAAGGCCAAATTCCATTCCGGCGATTTTTTTTATTGTCGGAATTTTCGTCAATAATTTTCACATGTAGCAGACATGTGACATTAATATTCACAAATTCTCGTGCATTGCTCGATGTTAGTTTCAAGCTGAGATATAGTGATCCCTCGAACCATATTGTGCAGCCAAAAATAGAAAAGTAAGGCTACAATAATTTTTGTTACAATTAATACTAATAATTTAACTTACCCTGGTGCTCAAAATAAACCAACAAATGCCTTTATTTGAACAACATACATCTAAAGATTTTAAAGGAACTTTACTACAAATGACAAGAGAATGCAATTAAAAAATTATTCCAAGGTCATTGGTGTAAGAGGTTGATAGGTTGGACATACAATTATTTGTCTCAGTTACATATATTTTGTATTTGAAACTCAATATCACTCCAAATAATAAGATGTAGTGCTTATTTTAAGCTATAGTGCCGTTTTATACATATTTTAAGCAAGGCCATGTTAAAATCGTTGAATCAGTTAGAAACGTTTAATTTTTGCTTAAGCATGCGACTGGCAGGCAGTCAGCCTTTTGAGCACTGCTATGCAATCAAGTTGAATATTTCAAGAGTGAACTGATAAGTGTTGCATAAAAAACGTTTCAGCAGAAGATAGGAAATTCAGCGCTTATTGGCTGCATTTAATATTAATTTGAGATATTAAACACCTAGCTCTTTATTAGCCATTGAGTGAGTGGCTTTAACATGCTTTGAGGTTGAGTCCATTTACGCCATGACCAAAGTTCTTGCGGCTTATGTCGCTATTAATTGATAGGCAACAAGTTTTTCTGTTAGCCAAAGTCAATTGGAGGGTCATATAAAAGTTGCTCCTGCGCTTGGTCTGAAGGGCAGAATGTGTTTTCAATTATACGCCACCCAAAGGAGAAAGCAAACTAATTGGGTAACAAAGTTGCAACATGGCATTTTGTGATTGGTAGCGTATATGTAATAAAATGAGTGAAATAACCAAACAAACAAACATTCAACGCAGCCTATGTCCCGCCCGTGTGTATTTCTGCGTGTGTGTCGACACAAAGTCTATAAATATAAGATGAAAACTTTTCAATGAGATAAATTTAATTGGTGGCACTTTGTTGCCAGGCATACGAGATCGAGCGAAAAAGTTTCCAACAAATATAAACTGCAATTGGCCAAAGATATTTTAGGGTGTGTTTGAATGTGTGAGGTAAACGCACAATGCTGCAAAGTTTACAGTTTCTATTTTTAATTTGAGAGAACAGAATTCATAAGCTGAGCAGCCCGAGCAAAATGTGGGTTTTTAAGATAATTTAGCATCTATTACACTCAGCATTATTATTATTCAAAGCATATAAACGCAGGCGCATATTAAGTTGACTAAATTTAAATTTAAAGGCCTCATTGTATTATATAAACACATATATAAGGGATATAGAAAATAAATAAGAAGAAGCTGATTATCTGTGCTCATATGCTTTTACTGTAGAAACGCTGCTGATGGATCAGCAAACTAGCTGCGTGCTGGGATCCTTGGGTGTCCTGCGTCTACTGTTACCGCAGCTCATACGCGGCTACGCTGCTGATTACCAGGATGATGGCGATTCTTTGACGGATGCTGGACAACCGGTGGCAGCTACGTCCGACTGTCGACAAATTATTGAAATTTATGATTATTGCTTGCACCTGCTGAGCACGCAGCATACAGCGAATCACGCAATTATAAATGGCGCATTAGAGGTCATCAATGCCATACTTCAGGCACTGCAGGATAGCTGTGGAGCGGCGATGCAACTGGTAGAAGGCGGAAAAAGTGGACTTGCAGAAAGTTTGCGCAAACTTCTATGCAATCAACAACTGGAGCACAATGAGTATTTGTGGCGAAGGAAATCATTAAAAAATCAAATATTCCAATTGAGAAATTACGAAGTGGTGGGGACAAGTGAAAAGCAGGGAATGCCACTACGACAAATGCAAATGGAAAAGAATTTAAAAAGCAAACTGCACCAGAAAAAGTGCCAACAAAAACAACAACAACTGCAGATTGGCATCAGCCCGCTGCATGTCGTGGGAATTAATGCCGTGCTTGATGATGCTGACACTGAGAAAGATGCTGTTGCTGCTGCGAATTCCGCTCCTGATGAAGGTAAAGTAAATAATGCTAAGCGTAACTACTCTCTCTGTGGGTGAGTGTGTGTTTGCCTGTCCAATCATGTTCAAACGGGAAAAGCTGATAGACTGACGAGTAGACACACACACAGACAGACAAACTAACAGATAGACCGCACTGAAATCAAGAAAATTGAGCAATGCCACTGTCGCACACATAATATCTTCCCTTTTGCCCGCCACACAATGCGCATATGAAAATTATTAGTGCATGCTTTTAGGCGGTGGAGCATGTAAAATGGGGTCAAAATGAAATTTGCATTGCATATAGCTCCACGACCATTTACACAAATTGTAAAGCCAACCCAATGGGTATTCTCTCCTTTTCCCACAATTCAAAACCACCCCCCTCGGCCAGCAGTCAAAAAAACTGCGCGACATCACATTAGAAATGCAGCACGCAGCATTAGCGAATGTGTTGGTAGCAGCGCATCAGATGACGAGGAGCTCCTGCAGCATGAGCAGACCGTTGATGTTGAGGATGATGATGATGATGATGATGGTGAAGATGATATGGAGCTGCTAACCGCCATTGCGGATGATGAGTATGAAGGCTTTACAACGTTGTCGCAACTGAATGAAGCACAACAGACTATGCCAGCGGCACTGAAAGATTCAAATACAACTGGCGTAATAGCAGCAACGATTGTTGCACAAACTGGCAGCGAGTATTCTGGTGAACAATCGCGTAAACCTTCGGCCGTTCAGCATCAGTCGTCGTTGCAGAATCTGCTTGCTAGTGATGACAGATCCCAGCATTTGAGTGACATCGACAATGAATCCTTCAATAGCATTGATTTTGATGCGGAAATAACAATTGCTGGTGTAAGGGAGGAACAGACACCAGCAGCAACACATTCAGCACCAGAGTCAACCGGGTCAATGCCAGATGTAACAACAATCGGTACATTCTTCAATAATTTGTTGTCACATTCACATTCAGGTAAGCTATTCAAATCAATATATAAATTATTATTTTTTTTGTAATATCTCTAGAATGAGGTGATTGTGTGGGGTATTTAATGTCTACACTGTAAATGTTGGGTAGAAAGGTTATAATGGTTTTGTGCAAATGTATGTAACTGGCAGAAGGAAGCATCTTCGACCCCATAAAGTATATATATATTATTGATCAGGAGCAACCGCCGCATGTGTGAGTAGGAGACGGCTCAATAATTGACGCGAGCGTCAATATGTTTTTGTTTGTCTTCTGCAGAGCCCTGCAGCCAGTTTGTTTCAGATCGGGTTGTAAATAAGCGCTGCTTTCGTTATTTTGTTCTCTTCAGTACCTGTGTTTGCTAAAAGAAATGAGTGCAGTTGCAGACCTGCTCACATTTGAGTGCCAAACATCTTAAAGAAAAATTTGTCAATAAAACAATAATATTATTACATTAAACAGCTATTATATTTAACAGCTGGATTCAGGGTATATCGTAGTCGAGCTCACTCGACTACAGCACTCTTACCTGTTTTTTTTAAATAAAAAATTAAATATTAAAAAATATTTATTGCCTTATTTTGAAAAACGTGGTTTATCATATTTGAGCATAACTTTAGTATGGTGCCTAGACAAATATTTTATAAATGCAACTAGGCGAGCAATTGGAAAACAATTTTATGATTTACGATTTTATTAGATTTCGCGGTCTGCCGTTTTTGTTTTCCATTTCACCAAATTTATTTTCAATACTTGGGCGTACTAATCAAATTATTTGCATAATTGTAGTTGACAGGCAAAGAGGACAGGGACGGAAAGAGGGAAACCATGTAGAGGCAGACAACACGTTGGAAACTAAATTTGCATGTTGCCTTTTGCCAATTGCTCTTGCAATTTAATGAAGCGTAATTGTTGTTGTTCGCCATGTTGCCGAGTCTCTATGGAGTCAACATGAACAACACCAACAAACAGCTTAATTAAATTAGGCAATGCTCGCACAAGTAACTGCCTCCGCATAGATGCAAACAAACACAAAAACAGAAAGAGATAGAGAGAGAGAGAGAGAGAGAGTGAGAGTGAGAGTGAGAATGAGAGTGAGAGTCAGAGACAGAGACAGAGACAGAGATAGAGAGAGAAAATAAAATTGATTTTGATTAAAAAAACTACAGTTGCTGCATACATATTTAAATGTGCTTATTTATTCGCTACGCACTTCTCTCTACATATTGTACCTGAAACTGCAAAGTTATTTGAAATAGACTCCAAAAAATAACCAACCAAGAAAAGGTTAAGAAATATACACCGAGAACGTTGCAATCACTAATTTAAGCTTTAAATTTGATTACTCTTGCTCCAAAATTGCAATTGGTGGAGATTCTATCATATTAATTTGGTAACTAGCTTTAAAATTGTGAGAGATATAGGCGAAGTTGAGTTTTTGGATCGGGGGAAAGCGAGGTAAATATATATTCTTACTAATGGGAGGTTCCTAGTAATCTATCTTCCAAGTTTACTAACTTTAGCTCTGAAATTGTGGAGGATATATGGCCATATCAATTTTTATTAATTGATGTAGCACGAACAGACATCATGGCAAACGTTGCATAAAGCCATAGAGTCGTGAGCACAAATTAAGCGAATGAGTTGTGTTACAATTAGTGACATGAGGGAAAGAAAGTGTTGTGTTCATATTTGGGACACCAAAAATAAAAATAAATTTTAAGACCGTTTAAACAGCTACTTGACGTAAATGTCTGTTTCTGTATGTCTGTCTGTCTGTCCGTATGTGGGCTGCGTATTAAGCTTGAAACATGGGAAGGCATTTGCCGCGAACAATCCCAGGCCCCTGGCTGCATCGCCTTCCTCTTCCCCATCTGCTGCTACTGCTTAGCCAAAGCATCACACTGCAACTTGGCAACAAAGTGGTTAAGACAAATGGGTTACGTGATAAAATGCGGTTACTCAAATTGCATGTATGCAAGTTTACATCTTTGTGTGTGTGTGAGCTCATGTTTATGTGTAGCTGTTTTAGTTTATTTAGCATTGCCAAGCAGCCAGCCAAGCTAGGCTGAATAGTAAGATAGGCCAGGGGATTTGGCGTTCATTTCGCTGCTCTCGCAACCACTGCTGACGTTGTTGGGTTTTCTCTCGCTGCTGGTTTTTTTTCTGTGCACTTATGGGCTATCAGCCATTTTATTCTGCGCGCATACATCTCCCTTTCTAGTTATTGTTGTAGAATATTTGTATTTACAATGGTTACTAAAACAAAGTAATTTATATGCCCTTACTGCTGCATATGTTATCATGATGTATGCTTGCATCATAACATTGCAATTTTTAAATATTAGTTCATCGCACTAATAAACCATATTATATTATATTCGGCAAAATTATCAATGATACGGTGTCAAATTATTTCAATGTTGATTTTACAAATGGTTTTTGATGTCCTTGTAGAGGATATTTTATTTTTAAAGTTTACAACACATAGCTGGAGATGTCTCCGACATCACAATTGTTGAGCAGCATTACTCTGAACAAAAATTTGTATGTCAGCAGATTAACTCCGGCTTACAAGAGTAGGTATTCTTCGGCGTATCTAAGATAACCGTTCTTTCTTGTCATTTGTTTTTTAACTGAAGAGTATCAAATTTTCTCGATATTAACCATCTTTCCACGTTTTCATAACATATTTTGGTTTTGGTTACTTTGCATATGCAGTATGTGAGGCTTTGACCTGGTTATGTGTCACCCTTTGTCATTCCCTTAAAGAGTTCCACTTCTTATGCTTGCGCGCTCTCTGTTCGTGACTGCTATGTTTCACACGAATTTTTCGCAATCCTATGCTTTGTAGTGTAGTATAGATTTTTCCGGTTTTGACTCGGGATTTTAGCTACCAATTCGTGGCCCCAGCTATCGGTGTCTTAAAAATTTTAACTTTTGCTTTTTAAATTATTCTTCAATTGGTTACATTCTTTTAAGCAGTCTCAAGTTTGAATAAGGCCACTAGCTGCCTAAATATTATGCACTAAGTGTTTGGTGTAAATTCCTATCCACTTACAGTAGATCTCCAACGGAAGTTTGGTTTCTGATTTTCTCTTTTTCAGTGCTCCTTTAAGTTTTACAGCTCTAACATGCGGTTGGAGCATCCATTAGAAAATAAAGAAAACCCCAACAACTGTAACAGGAATTGTAACTGACAGATACAGCAGCAAAATAAAAACAATTTTTTAAGCCAACTTAAGCGCGGTTACGATGAATAGGTTACATCCTCGTTTCCTGCAATGCCTCCCTGCCTCCTCTCAATGATCTTATACGTACTATAAAATTAGGGTTTTTAATTAATTTCCAACAGTGGCTGGAGCAGGATTAAGAATGTGCAGCGTTAGTTAAGTTAACTGCATAACAAAAAATAATAAAGTTAGTTAATATTTTAATTAGACAACACGATTGGCAAATAATCTATAAGCTACAATCATTCGACTGAATCATAAAGCATACATACATTATCATATATCCATTGTTGTGTCATAGCAGAATCAAGTTACTAAAACTGGGAATACAATTTGATAAGTTGGATAAAATAGTCTAATATGTTGATTTAGATAGACAGCTCTTATGAGCCGTTGATAGTGGTTAAAACTTTGGGGGGCTTAAAGATAATTTGGGATAAACAGGCTGACACACATTCCATAATTATCCTGAACCAAGCTTGTGCAGGGCGTTAGTGTGTCTGGAGAAGTTGTCTGGAAAAGTTGCGTTGGTTTTTTTTTGCAGCCTCCGAGTCGGTCAGTAAGCTCTTTCGTCAATCTAGCGGCCCCAAGTCTACGCCAATCAAGTCGGCGCCAGCCACTGATAAATCGGATGCTGCATCGACGGCTTCGCTAACGCTCTCTTTGAGCTCATTGGCCAGCAGCAATGTGGCTGGTATATCAGAGCGTCAGATTTCCATAACAGAGACACCCACACCAGTGGAGCAGATGTCTGGTTCAGCATCGGCCAGTGCCTCGTATACGCCGTCCACGGCGCTGTTGATGGATACGCCAGCCGATGCAGCTACCCCTATGAAAGCAGACGAAGAAATGGAGCCACAGATGCGCCGCATGCCCAACGGTAAGCTACCAGCTGTCATTGCACAGCAACTAATTAGATCCTTTATCCTCGCGCAGCTAATCCCTTTCTGGCGGAGAGTTCACCGCTGAAGCAAACAGTATCGGGTCGTGCGGTAATTAGCGTTAAAATTGGCAGTATCCTCGAGCAACCGCTTCTCTACTACACCTCACGTTTACTGGCCGCACGTTTCCTACTAAGAGGCCAGGCATCAACCCTGCAGCCAGACAGTGTTAGTCGCGTGTCGATTAAGAGCCTTTCACTGGCAGGTATTGCCCAGTGTGTGCGCCTGTCGCCGCGTGTCCTGCAGTTGCCCCTGGAAATCAGTGACCAAGAGCTGGAGCTGCTGGCTGAGGTTAGCTGTGCTCCGAGTGCTGAAAGTACGCAAGCTTCCAGTCCGCAGAGCAGCAACAATTCAAAACAGAACACAGAACTGTTGCAATCTACGACTGGATCGCTGTTAGAAGCCGAAATTGGTGACGGCGATAATGAACTGATGCTGGACATCAAGGACGATCACTTTGGACCCAGCACCTGTCCTGCCTATCTGCAGCAGCCCAGTCAACTTAGTCGTAGCGCAGATGCCGCGCTGCTGCAGCGTCAACTGGAGGTCACACATAACCAAAATCAACAGCCCCCGAGTGCTGTCGATGGTCAACTCTCCAGATCTGAGATCATTGGTGGCTCATATCGCATTACGATTGCGGCGGAGGATGCACCACCACTTGCGCTGCCGCCGTTACCGCCAAAGCGAACTAAATCGATGCGATGTCGTACAAGTACGAGCATCAGCATGCCCACGGATAAGTTGACAAGTGCCACCGGCGGTCAAGCTTTGTCGGATGTGTTGCTCTTCTACTCACACTGTGATCCCATTTTGCGCGGTGGAGTTCAGCAAATTGTGGGCAACTTTGTGCAGTCAAGCCGAGCCGGTAGCTGTCTGCAGCTGCAGCGAGGACTCGACCTGTCGCATTTACTGGCTATTTTGCTTAAGGTATGCATCCTTTACAGCGCACCGCCCACTGGCAAAAATAGTGCTGTTGCATAGCCACAGGTGCCCGCCGTCCGTCTTTTGAGAACCCGATGTCGGCTTATCTGGCACTACTTAATGTGGCAAACGACGCTCCACATGCATTTATCTATTTATATATACACACATATCTTTGGCATTTCACACATTCCCTCGCCCTTGAATCTACCCTTCTGCATAACGCATACGCCGCGATGTTTGTGTTCACTTTCAGGGTAGTGGCTTATATGCGCCTCCATCCTTTCGCTGTACGCCTTTTTTCTATGTTAAACCAACAAGCTAACATATTTTAACACATTCAAACCTTCACAGACACGTGTCCATATCAATGACTGCTGCTTGCTGCAAGCTTTTGAATATTTTTCCAGCACTCAGTTTGCCGTTGCCGTTGCAGCTGCAGCTTAGCCAGTAGCATTTTGTGTCGGGATGTTTTTCATTTGAAAATAAAAAAAGAAAATTCTTATCGGTTTCACAATATGCAAGTGCAAATGCCCCAAAGGGGAACAGCGCATCCGTTGCCAGTCCCAACTTCAAACTCACCCACACACAGACACTCACACAATCGCAGACAAATGGAGAATGTGCGCATAACTTGCACATTGATTTCTCTCTTGAGAATCGTTAGGCACACACATTCATACATACATATATGTATACATACATACTTATGGTGTAATGCGGCCGGGCTTTCAGATTGGGGTGTTTCTTATTGAATTCAATAATTTAGTGTCCAGCCAAAATTTAAATTGCGCTTGGTCCGCCCAAAAGCGCAATTTGATTATGCAATGTTGTTATGTAACGAGCTACAAGAGGCGCAGCTCAAACGTGCGAATTGCAAATCATATAAGATGCTAGCCCCTTATAATGCCTTCAAATCCGTCTCAATGGCACTTCCTACCAGCCACAGTGAATGTATTGCTGTACATATGGGTACATGCTATATATTATAGTATGCAGAGTGAGATCGTCTGCCTTGGAGCAGGGCAACTTGATAACAATAGCCCTTTATGCAAGGCCAAGGAAGAGCTTGTTAGGATTCGTTAAAAATGCACACACTCCCTGCCACATATTCAAAAAAACACATCTGCTTGTGCAAAACTTTTTGCTTGGGCAAACAATGCAACACAAATTCGCTTAACAGCGCAAAGCTGAAATTTAACCAAAAAGTTTTTCTGCTTTTGCACATTTGCAGGGCTTTGAGGACGAGATACATACAGTGGTCATACAAGCGTTGAATGCATTCGATAAGATATTTCCACATGTGGTGTCCAAATATTTGACAGCGCCGCCATGTCATTATCATGCTCATCAGAAGCGACAGCAGTTGCAGCAGCCAAGTGGACAACAATGGAGCCCAGGCCATTGCAAAACATTTGGGCCGCAAACTTTTGCAAAGAATCTGGATAATGCCTTAAGCAGTCAGCAGCATGAGCAGCAGCAGGAGCAGCAACAATGGCACTCTAACGACGACAATTCGTCGACAGACGAGACCAAGATATGTGTCAGGTCGTCAACCACTGATAATGATGAGATGCTGGCTGCTCTTTTGAATGATTTTGAATTGCAATCGAATCGCATACAGCAGCATACACAGCAGCAGCATCAAAGCAACAAAAGCGTTCAATATAATGAGCCTGGTCCGTGCTGTGTGTTTGCCATTTCCCCAAAATTGCTCTTGAGCAAACTTCGAATTTGTCGTCAGAATAAATATTGGTTGGTCCAAAATAAATATGCTGAAGTTATTTCCAATTTAAATTACGTACTGCTGCGTGCCTACTACGCAAATTTCGATTGTGCATCTGACAATAATAACAACAATAAACACAACGATGATGTGAAGAAGCCAAAGGATCAATGTCAGGGAGCACCAAACGCCTGCAACTGGATACCAGGCACTTACAACAATGACATTGCCCACACTTATGAGGTAAGCAGATGAATTGCCTTATTACAAAACCTTAAGGAAATGTTGTTCGGGTCCAGCGACTTGACTTGTTTATTGTGCAGATTATTTTTGTCTTTCGTTCCTCTCTTTACTGGCAGCTGCTTCAAAATCAGTTGTGGTGGGCCCTTCCCTGTAGCATGTCTCGGCCAACATCCTCTTATTGAACTTTTGTGCACTGAAGTGTGCCTCTTTGTGCTGCAATTGGAGGCTGTCCCCAGTAAAAGACAATCCGATTGACAGTTTGGTTTGGCTGCTATGTTTTTTTGTATACATATACTCCGCATTTGTTGATTTATTATTTTGACAAAGCCAAACAATTTGCTAAATGGTAAAAGGAAAGTTCGACTTACGTGTATACAGACTAAAGAGTTGGCTGACAATTGTGAGTTGCAAGCGAGCCATACTGTGATAGTAGAAATGGTACTTATTATTAGAATATAAAGCCTTTGATTGAATATCTTTTGGTTAAGCAAAATGTTTTACAAAAAATGTAATCAAATTAGAAGTGACAAAATATCAGCAGTAAGTTAAACTACAATTTTTTTAATAGTGCTAAGATGTTGAGCAACAAAATATAATAGAAGTGGTGGTCTGAAATGGTGAATTCGACAATACCGAAATATGCAAATCGATAAAATCATACATATTTCACCATCTTAAATATAGTCTCATTAAAACTGGAAGATAGTGTGCCAGTGACCTCCTTGAGAGAAGCCACCAAAGAGCGGGCAATTTCCCGACCATTCAAAAAGATTGCAAACTTATAAGGTAATTTGGATAGGAACCTCACATCAGACGACAACGATTTCACTTGTTTTCCAGCTTCCTTATTTGTATTGCATAAGCATATTTGTACTATTTGGAATCGAAACTAAGCCATATTCTGTGATTCATCGGAAATGCTGAACATAATGCTAAGAAATGTGGCTAACTTTAAAAAAAAATTAGTTTTGTGAAACGCGCATCATAAAGCAAATTCACATTTAGAATGGGGCGCGGGGATTTTGATTTTCAATCTACATCCAACTGACCCGAAACGCTTTTCGATAACCGCAGGCTGAACTGATGGATGAACTTCTGCAGTTATTGGGCGACGATGATGCGCGTGTACGGGAGCATGCTGCCTTTTGTCTGTGCCGCTTCATAATGCAAACAGGGCGCCAAATGGAACAACTAAGCACAACAGCAGCAGCAGCTGCAACAGCAACGACAACTCAACAAACTAATTTCAATTTGCTTTGGGATTTTTTCGACTATCGCATATTTGGCAGCATGTCCTTGACGTTCCGTAATTTATTTCGGCCGAGCTCTACGATTGCGCCGCCGATGACAGCATTGGATGGTGGAGAGTACGGTCACGGACCGTATGCCGGCACCACAGAAGCTGGCACGATTGGTGGTGTTACCATAGAAGGTGCAGCCGCTGCGGCGTCGGCATACTTTGATGGCAGTTACGGCTTAGGCATCGCTGACGGGCATGTTTTTGCTTCTGGATTTCAACGTCAAGTTGCACAAGAAGAAAAAGTTTTGGCAAAAGTTTTGTATCGCATGACAAATAAGTTGATGACGCTCGATGATAAAAATGTTCAGGTAAATATTTGAGTTCGCTCGATTCCCATGAGAGTAAATAACTGTAGCAACAACAACCACATTCTATCATTCGACAGTATGGCATAATATCCGCGTTGCGCTTATTGCTGAAACACTTCAATTTTGTTGACTATCGACAGGCCTGGATGGAATTCAATTTCATCGAAATTTGCATGAGCTACGCCTATTACAACAGTGCAACAGCTGGTGACTTAAATTGTCAGCATGACTTAATTGACGTAATAGCCAAATTAATAGCAGGTGAGCGCCTCCAAAACAAACCCTTAAGCTAACTCATGTGCAATGCACAATGGCATTTCCATAAGTATGAACACATAAAATAATAAATATATATATTTATAGTATGTGCGTATTTATTATCTTAGGTTATTCCCATTCCAATGATTTTATTTGTTCGTTGATTGTCTTTGCATGACTGAATGCAATGGTATTCATTAAATTGGGAACGAATCCAATGGTTTAGTGCATCTTTGAACCTCTGTGTCTGGAATGCAACATGACAGAGCTAATTTAAATTAAGGAACATTTCATTGGGAAAATTTGCATTGTACTAATGCTATCGAAACTAATATACAAATCATTTTAATTAATTGTTTGTCATTTAATTAATTTGCATAAATACTGTATGCTGCCTGTGGTGTGGGCGCGTCAAATTCCCTTACTTTTTTAAGTATTGGATATTAAATTTTGTCGTGAAATGTGTAACGCATTGATGAAGTCATCTCCGATCCCATAAAGTATATATAGGCTTGATCACTACCCGAGTAGATAGAGCCATGTCCGACTGTGTGTCTATAATTTTTTTTTATTTATGAAGCAACATTAATGAAACTTGGTATATATCAGTCTTTTTGCGTCGATCAGTCATGACGTCAACCACACAAATGTGGAATATTCTGATCAGAGCCGTGAAATTGAAAAACTTAAAAGAAAATTAGCTTAAAACGTACAAAAACATAATAATATTTCGAGTTCCGGATTAAAGCAGATTAAGTCCGGTCTACAAGGGTATTCAATCTTCGACATGCCTCAGATACAAGTTCTTTCTTTTTTTTGCGATGCTTTAATTATAATTTTAATCTAGCAAGTGTTCAAATTAGCATACATATTTTTCACTCAGCATATTAATTTGATTTACGTACATGCACTTTTTTTTTTGAACGTTTGATAATTTGGTTGAAATGCTAAAAAGCCGTAATGATTGTGTAAGGTTTTACAGAATATCCAAATAGTCCTGCAAAAATATTTTTGATAATTGACATCGTTTATAAATTTGCAATTTAAAACATCTAACTTCTCAGTGTTACACGTAAACTAATTAAACATTCGATGCGACAATCTCAAAACATTAAACAATTTAATATAATTCTGTTTTCTGTAATTAAAAAGAGTTCAATAAACTCATTAACAAACTGCACCTAAAAGTAACAGAAAAAACAAAACAAAGGATGAATAAACAGGCGTACAAACTGTCCAGTAATAAACATTTTTATTTAATTTATCAAATTGCATTAAACAAAAAACCAAGCTTCAACTTAATTTCATTATTAGCATTTACACAACATCCAGCCATACCCACTGTCAAACTGTTGTTCATTTTGTTATTGTTTCTTATGCTGTCAACTACACAGTTAGAGTTATACAAATGCAAATATTTTTTGGGCTGGTAGGAAGCCGCACATTTGCCGTTCGCTAATGTAATCCACCATAATCAAAAAGTAATTAAATTATTTATAAGCCATTAAATGTAAATGTGCCACTCACAACCCAAAACCCCGTTGCAATTTGCATTTGAGTATTTTTGTATGAGAAAATAATTTAATTTTTAAGCCGTGCGCTCTTTCGCACCTCTAACCATACTGTCCACACATAATGAATAAATATTTATACATATGTATACATGACTATGTGTGTCAGTGTATAGTATTTGTGAGCATCAATTTCAAAACAAAAACGGCGAAAACTTTACGGATTAATATTTTGTGATAAGTTTTGACAGTATGTAGATCACATTTTTGTATGTCAGTGTAGATATTCAGCAAGCATATATGTTGGTCCGACGATTAGCAGGAACCAGACTTTATTGATCTAATGACGCGACGCATTCGGCAGTCAAAAACGGAGTGTGTACAGAAGTATTGAGAGATTAATTTTTAGTATATGCGAAAGAACGGACAATGCAAAACTTAGGATAAGCTAAACGAGGGTTGCCAGATTGTTACATTGCACTCATTTCAGTCTTATTTGCAACACGCCCTCTCGAAGTAACAATTCTGTTAACCTTAAATACTAGTGACGCCCAACAAAGAGATGCAACCATGATGCTTTGGCACTGCTTAGACCCTTCGTTAGTACATCTGCTGGCATTTGCTCCATCTGCATGTAGCCAACCTGGATGTCGCCACTCTGGTGCTTCTGATGGATGAAATGGTGGCGCACATCGATGTGTTTTGTGCGTGGATAAAAACCAAAGCCTTTAACCAATTTTTGAGCGCTTTGGTTGTCGTTAAGGAGCAGAACCGAATCACATCTTCTGCCAATCCCGTTGAGTATGGCCTTCAAGTATAAGGCCTCCTTTGTTGCTTCGCTCATTGCCAAGTATTCGGACTCTGTGCTTGACAAAGCGACGGTGCGTTGTTTTCGTGCCTCCCAACTTATAGCAGCACCTGCTAATATAAACGCCTGTCCAGAATATGACCGTCTGTCGGTCAATTTTGCGCCCCAGTCAGCATCGACGACTCCGTACAGATCTTCGCCTGTTCGCTTGAATAACAGGCCGAGTTTTTTGGTACCGCTTAGGTACCGAAGGATGCGCTTCGCCGTCTTCCAGTGTTCAGCGCTATAACATGAGTTAAACTGACTCATGAAATTTACGGCGTACGGAATATCTGGACGGGTTGTAACTGAAAGAAACATAAGAGAGCCAATTAAGTTCTGATAGGGGTACTTCCTCATTTCGGCTTCATCTACTGCTTCTGTTCGCTTCAAAGTACATTTCGCTTCTATGGGTGTTATTCCGAATCTTTTCAATATAGCGTCGATGTACTTTTCCTGTGCAAGGAATATGCAATGCTCTTTCAGATCCTGCTTGAATTCTATGCCCAGACAGGTTGTCACTGGGCCGAGATTTTTCATCTCAAATGCGTCTCCGAGGATTTTTTTGGTCTGATGCAACCAATCCGGGTGATTTGACGCCAACAGCAAATCATCTACGTAAATGGATACTAGGAGAATCTTCTTCCCCTGTCGTTTGACGAACAAACATGGATCCTGCTTCGTGAGCTCTAATCCAACTTCTTGTAGCTTCGTCGTGAGTCTACAATACCAACGCAAACCAGACTGGCGTAATCCGTATAACGCCTTCTTCAACAAACACACAGGGCTTCTCATTGATGACAGCGACGCACGCCATTCCGCTGTTGTCTTCATGTGCTCTGTTCGAAGTGAAACATGCTTCGTTCCAATTGATTTGCCCGATTCCAACTTTTCCATGAAATCATTGAAGCTCTCTAGGACCTCTATATAAACGCTCTCTTCGAGCTCGCCGTTTAAGTAGGCTGTGACCACGTCCATTTGATGTATCTCCATATCAAGTTCCGCTGCCATGGCCACCAAAAGTCGGACTGATGTGAATCGTGCTACAGGTGAATATGTTTCATGAAAATCCTCTCCAGGCCTTTGTGCATATCCTTTAGCGACCAATCGAACTTTCTTTTTTCCTGAAACAGTACCATTGTCTTTTGTCCGAAACACCATTTTGCAACCTATAATCTTTCGATCCTTAGGGCGTTCCACAATCTCCCATGTTCCGTTGTGTACCTGTGCCAGAAACTCATCTTCAATTGCCCTTGTCCAACTGACGCTGTCCTTGTGGCTTTTCGCCTCTTCAGTGTAGTTGGATCATCTGTCGCAGCCATGTATGCAATTTCGCATTCCTCGAATGTCTCGCTTGAACTGCTCTGCTTGTCGTTGCTGATCACCTGAGATTGTGGTTGATATATTTTCCGTGGCCTACCACGCTGGCCTGTCTTCTCGATCTTGGGACGCCCTCTGCCACGGTGCTGCTCAACTAGCTTCTGCTTGGGTCGCTCAACTGAACTGTTATCGTCGCTGGTAGACCCATCACAAGGTTTACTCGTGATATTGATGTCGAAACCTCCGTTTGAGTTTTGATCATGTTCGTAGAACTCAGCGTACTCACTTTTGAACCCTGGAACATTCAAGAACTTGACATCTTTGTTTACTATTACCTTACGCTTCTCAGGTAAAAATAATCGACATGCCTTCGACCACTATGTATTCTTCCGATCTTGATTCAAATTTACCCTTATTTGAACCCTTTATTAATGCATATACCTTCGTACCAAATATATGTAAATGAGACACTGTAGGAATTGTCTTCGTCCAGTGTGGGGAATCTCACCGGTTTTCTGCGGTAGCTTTATATACTTTAAAAACTTCTAATAACTCTGATTTCTGTTTAAGAAAGTGAATTTCACAATAGCGCGAATTGTCATCTATAAAAGTAGCGAAGTATTTACATCCTCCCAGGGATTGCGTTCTCATTGGGCCGCATACATCGCTGTGAACTATTTCCAGTAGTTCTGTCGTACGTTTTTCTTTACCACTTTTATAAATGCTTGCAGTTTGCTTTTCGCTTATGCAGATTTCGCATTTCGACAATTTTCCATTCTCGCACATTTTCATGCCGTAGGCTTTACCACTTTTAGCCATATTTTTCAAATCGCATTCATTCAGAAGTCCCATTCCCGTATCTTTGCGCACGGAGCCAAACTTCGTTATTTTTCATAACAAGTGCTTCATTTTTCCGAAAATGAACTTCAAAACCATTGTCTGTGATTTTGGAAACCGACATCAAATTTTGACGCTAATCCGATACGTAGAAAACATCTTTCAACGTTAAGTCAACTCGCTGTTGTTGTTTCTTAACTGCGATTTTAGCATTACCAATGCCACTAATCCGTGTGGTCTTATTGTTGGCCAAATGTAAAGTCTTTTCGACTTTTGCAATATCGGTGAACATGCTCTTATTTGAACTCATGTGTGCCGTGCAACCACTATCGAGGCACCACAAGCCATTTTTCTCATCGGCAGAAAAGGTAATTTCGAACGCGTTAAGCGAAAGTTCCCGTTTTCTGCTGTACCCGCTCTGTTCTGTTCATTCGTATTGCGTTTCATATTCTTCTGTGGGTTGCTTCGCCAATTTCGTGCGCAATGTC